AATATTAAATTATATTAAAATATATTAACATTATTATATTATTATATAATACAATTATATATATTATATTATATTATATTATATTATATTATATTATATTATATTATATTATATATTGTATTATATTATATTATGTTATGTTATGTTATGTTATGTTATGTTATGTTGTTATATTATATATTAAATTATTATATTAAATTATATTAAAAATATTCCTGTTTAATAAAATTATATTTAAAAATATTAATTATATTAAAATATATTAACATTATTATATTATTATATAATACAATTATATATTATATTATATCATATTGTATTATATTATATTATATTATATTATATTATATTATATTATATTATATTATATATTATTAATTATATTATATTATATTATGTTATATTTTTATATTATGTTATGTTATGTTATGTTATATTATATATTAAATTATTATATTAAATTATATTAAAAATATTCCTGTTTAAGCAAATTATAAAGCTTTTAAAACCTGATTTCTCTGTTTTAAGCCTAAGTGAGGTGAATTAGTGTCTGCCTCATCCTCAGATCCATCTGGACAATCCTGCATCAGGGCTCCTGTTGGAAGGATGTTCCTGGAAATGGCACATCCCAGTTTAGGAAGGTTGGTAAAATTCTCTCTTTGGTGAAAACCTGGGAGATTGCAGATCCAGAGGAGGCCGTGCTGGTGAAGGATTCCCAGTAAAGCCCCAGTAAAGCAGAGCCCAAGCCAAGCAGTTTTGTGGGAAATGGCCTTTTCCTCCCCTGCCCTTTGGGTGGACATTCCAAAGGGCAGGGACACGAAGGAGATAAAGGAGGAAATCCCTTTCAGGTCCACAGCAATCCATCCAAGGGGGGGAATGTCTTGCCAAAAAGAAAACAAATCGTGCAAAGACTTATCTGGTGTGCTTGCACCACTCCCCTAAAAGCCTCTTTTCCCAGTGGTGGCCAGCAAATCTCTGGAAATGCCAGAAGAAAGGGATTGTTCATATAAACACATCCATTTCCAGGGGAAGTTTACTCTTCCTATAGCCAGAGGATGTTTATTTTGTGGAAAAGAGCACGTTAAAACCTTTCCTCCCTTCTCCTCCACCCCTGGCACTCGGGGATTCCTCATTCCTCATTCCCCAGGTTTAGCAGGTCAAGGGAAGGGGGAGCCCCAGTGGAAAACGTGAGGAAAAATAAATACAGGGAAAGAAATGGATAAACAAAATAGCTGAGCTGGAGTGTGGAGGCTAAAAATTCCCTGGCTGGGGCAGTGACAGAGCGTGGCTGAGAGCTGCCAGCTCTGTGGGGTGATCCCGAATATCCCCTGGACCACAGGCTGGGATCCCACCCCTCTGCTGCCCTTTGGAATGTGGCTGGAATGGTGGCTGAGAGCTGCCAGCTCTGTGGGGTGATCCCAAATATCCCCTGGACCACAGGCTGGGATCCCACCCCTCTGCTGCCCTTTGGAATGTGGCTGGAATGGTGGCTGAGAGCTGCCAGCTCTGTGGGGTGATCCCAAATATCCCCTGGACCACAGGCTGGGATCCATCCCTCTGCTGCCCTTTGGAATGTGGCTGGAATGGTGGCTGAGAGCTGCCAGCTCTGTGGGGTGATCCCGAATATCCCCTGGACCACAGGCTGGGATCCATCCCTCTGCTGCCCTTTGGAATGTGGCTGGAATGGTGGCTGAGAGCTGCCAGCTCTGTGGGGTGATCCCAAATATCCCCTGGACCACAGGCTGGGATCCCACCCCTCTGCTGCCCTTTGGAATGTGGCTGGAATGCCGGGGAATGCTCCGTGCCCCATGTGCTTCCCGCAGCTTTTAGAGATGCAAAATCAATGGCAACGATTTGAACTCGGGTTTAACGCAGTCCTAATGAAGTTTAATGGGTGCCGTTAGGAAAATTGGGAGCACCAGCACAATTCATCATTGCACAGATAAATGGAAAAACGGGAATAAAGAATATCTGGGGGGTTTTTTAGCACTATTTCACCAGCATCTTCTGTATCCAAAGGGAAAACCACTAGGGAAAATTCCTGAATTTAGGCTATTGTTGCATGTCCCTGCTTGCTGTACTATTGTAACTTTTTCTGCTTTCAGACTTGGCAGCTGCAGCCAGCTCTGAGTTTTCTGCTCTTTCTGTTTCTGCTTTCCCAGCTTTCTGAAAATCTTCTTATCTTTACTATTTCCCACAGTTCCCACGGTGGAAAGGGGAATAAAACCAGCAAATACCCACAACTAAGGATGAAACCCTGGTTTGGGGTTTCCAGTCCAGTTCCAGGACCTCATCCCAGCCTTTTGAAGACTGCAGGGATGGAGTTTGCACAGCTTCTCTGGGCTCCTGGAAGAGCTGAGAGGAAACAGCTGAAAATTCACTTTCTGCTTGTCTTGGGCACCAAAGCAGCTTCTCAGGGGCACCTCTGGCTCCTCTGCTTCCAGAGCAGGGAATCCAGCAGGGAAGCTGGGCATGGAAGGAGAGAGAATCCCACATGAGGTCTGGAGTTCACTTTTCAGGCAGGGTGTGCTGGTGAATGGGAAAGGTCCAAAATTCCTGTTCCAAAGAGGGAGAGAAGAATTCTGGAATCATGGAATGGCTTGGGTTGGAAAGGAGCTTAAAGCTCATCCCATCCTATCCCCTGCCATGGGCAGGGACACCTCCCACTGTCCCAGGCTGCTCCAGCCTGGCCTTGGGCACTGCCAGGGATCCAGGGCAGCCCCAGCTGCTCTGGGAATCCAAGCCCAGCCAGGAATTCCCAATTCCCAATGTCCCATCCATGCCTGCCCTCTGGCACTGGCAGCCATTCCCTGGCTCCTGTCCCTCCATCCCTTGTCCCCAGTCCCTCTCCAGCTCTCCTGGAGCCCCTTCAGGCCCTGCCAGGGGCTCTGAGGTTTTTCCAGAGCCTTCTCCTCTCCAGGGGAACATTCCCAGCTCTCCCAGCCTTTCCCTCTGATCATCCCCATGGTCTCCTCTGGACTCTCCAGCAGCTCCATGTCCCTTCCATGCTGGAGATCCCTGAGAAAAAAGGGGATCCCCGAGGATAAAAAAATCATCTCAACAGAAAAAAACAGCAAGACCTGGGCATGAACTTCAGCTTTCAGCTCCAGGTTTTGGACACTGAGGAGTTTCCCTGAACTGAAGGCACGAGGACTTTTCCAAAAGGGCTTTCCAAGGAGGAATTAGGAAATCCTGTCATGTGCATTTCTTCCTCTCCCTCAAACTGAGAGCAGCAATCTCTGAGGGAAGAATTTAATCAAAGCCAGCTGCTAATTACTTTCCTGACACCAGGGGAGAAGGATGTTGGCATCCAAAAGATCTGGAAGATTTTTTCCTTATTAATATTTGATAAATCTGTAATTGGATCGTTTGATTCCGCAGTCTCCTTTGAATAGGAACTTTATTGAAATGAATCTTTATTAATTCAAGCCACAAACTTGAGGGGCTGATAACTCAGGGATTGATTGGAGTATCTGGAAGTGGCAGCTCTGGAGAGGAGATAAATTGGGATTGCTTAAGGACAAGTCAATACAGGCTGGATTTAATCCACAGTGCTTCCTATTAGAGGACAGAAATTACATTCTGTAAAGAGTTAAAGTTAAATTTCTCTGATTTCTCATTTCTCTCTCTTTTTTTTTTCCTGAAGTTCAGAGATTCCACATGAATATTTAATTCAAAAGCAAATGAGAATTAAGTGTGCTAACATTGAATTAATAAAAGAGTTGAGTGGCATCCAATAGTGAGCAAATGTGCTCATGAAAAAGTCCAAAAATCAAAATTGCAACATTAAAGCTACTTAATACATCACATTGTTTAGGAACGGATATCACAATTTCCTCCTGATCCCGATAAAATAAAGCCAAGACTTTATTAAATGCAGTAAGAACATTGTAAGGCTGAGTGTTATTACCCTGGCCACAAACCCAATGTCCTGCTCTGATTTTGAACTATGGAAACCTCTGGCACTGGTTTATGTTAATAAATTTCTGCTAATAAACCAGTGACAAAGCAAAATAAATGTCCAGAAACCTCTGGTTTCGAAGGAAAATAAATTCAAGGCTTTGTGCAAAGTCATGAGGGATGGGAACGCCCAAACTTTTATTTGGGAGAGATTAAAATTCCTTTTTCTTCACCAGTAACGCTGCTTGGAACAGTGAAGAAATGGCAAAAAATGAGAAAGAAAACTTTAATCCTTGGGGTTGTGACCATTCCCTGGGGAGGCTGTCCAGAGCCCTTCCATTAAAAAAAACAACAAAATCAACAGGGAGGGAAGCCATTGAAGCAGGTTTTAAATATCTTTATTATTATTTTGTAAAGTTATTTGAGGTATTGCCCTTAAAGTCACAGTTTTGTGGCAGAAGCGCCACTGATGCTCCCCATTCCCAGCGAACTTGGCTTTGCGCTTTTCCTTGGCGGAAACACCCTCTCTTCCTTTCAATTCCCTTCAACAAAACCCTTTTCCCCTTTTTCTCCCCATTTCCCCTTTTTTTCCTCATTTTACCCTTTTTTTCCTCATTTTACCCTTTTTTTCCTCATTTTCCCCTTTTTGGATCCCCGGCGACGAGGGCGATGAGGGCGGCTGACGCTCCGTGACTGCCCCCTGGTGCCCCGCACGGGAACAGCACCCACGGCCGCCCTTCTGCGCCCCTCACACGGGGCAACACCGCCTTGGGAGCACCGAGGGGACACCCCAGCCCCGTCACCACCGATCCCGGCGCCGCCAACACCGACCCCGGCCCCGCCGCTCCCACGGGAGCCCCGCCGGCCCCGCCGCCATCGCCGCCTCCCTCTCACGGCCTCTACCGCCCCTCCCGCAGCCCTGAGCAACCGAACGCCGAGCGGCGGATTCCGCGCGGTGTCGCGCCGCGCCCATCGAGGTGTCGGCGCATCGGCTGGCTCGGCCTGGGGGCGCGCGGCGAGGGCGCGGCGGGGGCGGGTGGGCGCCGCCATTTTGCAGGAAGAGGTGAGGGGGGCCGGGGGCTCCTTTTCTTTTCCTCTTTTCCCGCTTCCTTCTCCCTTTTCCCGTTTCCTTCTCCCATTTTCCCGTTTCCTGCTTCCTTCCCGTCAGCTGTTGCTGCCTTTCCGCGGCAGTGCCGCTCCTGGAACGCTGGGAGGTCGTGCGGGGTGTGAGGGGGCTCCGGGGCTGAGGAGTTCAGCGCTTTCTTTTCCCTTTCCTTTTCTCTTTCCTCTTCCCTTCCTTTTCCTCGTTCCCTTTCTGTTCTCTGCCCTCTTCCCTTCTCTTTTGCAGGGGTGTCCGGGCCTGTCAGCGCGGGGAGAGCAGCGTCTGCCATGGCCAATGTGAGTGAGTGACGCCAGGCCTTGCGGATATCCCGGGAACGGCGGAATTGAGGATTAAATGGAGTTACAAACAGGTTTGGGTGGGAAAAAAAACCTTCAAAATCCTTTAATTCCGACTCCGTGCTGTGGGCAGGGACAACTTGCAGCGTGCTCCAGGGCTTGGACACTTGTTCAGAGGCAGCTGCAGAACCTCAGCACCCTCCGATGGAAGAATTTCTCCCTGAAATCCCAATCCAGCCCTCCTCCAGTTTGAAAATCCCAGGAATAATAAACCAATTAAGGATTAAATCCATTTTTTCTGTCATCCTGGGCTCAGGCACGCAGGAGTTCCGTGTTTTGGAGCACTCAAAAGGCTGGAGCATAAAACACCTTTTATTGATTGTTTTTATTGCTCCCGCCGTGGGGACATGAATAATTCATTCCCTCCCTGGCTGCTGCTTCTTGGCTAATGCCAGGTGTGTAAATATTTGCATGAGCGAGCTGTAATTAGTGACATCTCCGTGTTAAGTGAGGCTGATAATAAGGAGAAATTCTCTTTTCTGCTAATTACACGTTGGCTGTAATTGTTTACATCTGTTTGTAGCATCATCATGCAGAAATTGATTTTAAGAGCGATTTGCCATGATAAAGAAAAAAGATTTGAGTGGAATCCGATTTTTGTTGTGCTACAGGAACCTTTTAAAGCTCTTTTAGAAGGAGACTGCTCCAGGCTTGAACTGTAAATAATTGATTTAAGTCATAAATTAAATTTGTCTTGAAGCATTTGAGTTGTTATAATTTGGTAGAAATTGTTTTATATTTACACAGAAGTGCTGGATGAAAAACCTTCTACTGCCTTAGGTCCTAATGCTTTAAATACAATTTTTATATTAAACATCCAAATAGCACCACTTATTCTCTTCTTTTAAAAGGAAATGGCTGCTGAAAGTGCCTCTTTTGATGGAAAATTGCATAAATTTTTATACAATCAAAGCTGCAGCGCTTGAGGAACATCCTTTTATGTTATTTTCTCAAAAGAATTGTGATTCTTTATCTGAAAAGTTGAATTTTCCAACAAACACCCACCCTGTGCCAGGTGGGATTTGTGTTTTCCAGGAGATAATCACGGAGACAATCCCTAGCCATAATTTAATTTAAATGTTCAATTTTTAGGGCTTTTTCTGCGTGAGAGGCCTTTAATTAACACTCAACAAAATGTAAAACTAACAATAAAATATTTCTACAGTTTGATGTCACAGCTGGCCAAAATTCAAATTTCAAGCTCATTATTGCAGATTTTTCTTGCGACTCGCAGGGTTGAGTTTAAACAATTCTTTGGATTTTTATTATGAAATAATTTTTATTTTATTATGAAATTATTATTTTTTTTTTGTTTTTTCTCTCCTCAGGTGCTCTGTACCAGAGCAAGGTTGGTCACCTACCTGCCAGGCTTTTATTCCTTGCTCAGGAGAGTGGGGAATGCCAAAGCTTTTTCCACTGCAGGATCCTCGGGCTCAGATGAGCCTCACGTGGCTGCTGCACCTCCTGATTTATGTAAGGAAAACCCTGGAAATCCCCATTTGCACCTGGGATTTTCACTTGGGAGAAGGAAAAAAAAATCCAATTTCTGAAGAAAAAGCAAAATTAAGTAAAAAAACACATTTAGGAAAAAAAAAGCAAATTTATTCCCTTGAAATCAGAATTTGATTTGGTAGAAAAGAAAAGCAAATTGAAGAAGAAAAAGGAAATTTGCTCCCTTAAAAGGCAAATTTGGAGGTGGAGTTTTTGACTGGGTAGGGGAAAAAAAAATCCAATTTCTGAAGAAAAAGCAAATTTAAGAAAAAAAGCAGATTTAGGAAAAAAAAGCAAATTTATTCCCTTGAAATGTGAATTTGGTTTGAGAGAAAAGAAAAGCAAATTGAAGATGAAAAAGAAAATTTGCTCCCTTAAAATCCAGATTTGGAGGTGGGGTTTCTGGCTGTGTAGAGGAAAAAAGGCAAATAGAAGAAGAAAAAGCACATTTAGAAAGAAAAAGCAAATTTATTCCCTTGAAATATGAATTTGATTTGATAGAAAAGCAAATTGAAGAAGAAAAAGAAATTTTGCTCCCTCAAAAGGCAGATTTGGAGGTGGGGTTTTTGACTGTGTAGAAGAAAAAAAAATCAAATTTATGAAGAAAAAGCACATTTAGAAAAAAGAAAAAGCAAATTTATTCCCTTGAAATCAGAATTTGATTTGATAGAAAAGAAAAGCAAATTGAAGAAGAAAAAGAAAATTTGCTCCCTTAAAATCCAAATTTGGAGGTGGGGTTTTTGACTGTGTAGAAGAAAAAAAAAAATCTAATTTCTGAAGAAAAAGGAAATTTAAGAAAAAAGCAGATTTAGGAAAAAAAAGCAAATTTATTCCCTTGAAATCAGAATTTGATTTGGTAGAAAAGAAAAGCAAATTGAAGATGAAAAAGAAATTTTGCTCCCTCAAAAGGCAAATTTGGAGGTGGGGTTTTTGACTGGGTAGAAGAAAAAAGGCAAATATAAGAAAAAAAAGCAAATTAGATAAAAGAAAAAGCAAATTTATTCCATTGAAATCAGAATTTGATTTGATAGAAGAGCAAAGCAAATTGAAGGAGAAAAAGCAAATTTGCTCCCTTAAAATCCAGAGTTGGAGGTGGGGTTTCTGACTGTGTAGGGAAAAGAAAGGGAAATTTAAGAAGAAAAAGCACTTTTAGAAAGAAGAAAAAAAAGCAGATTTATTCCCTTGAAATCCAAATTTGGTTTGATAGAAAAGAAAAGCAAATTGAAGACAAAAAAGAAAATTTGCTCCCTTAAAATCCAGATTTGGAGGTGGGATTTTTGACTTGGTAGAAGAAAAAAAAATGCAATTTCTGAAGAAAAAGCAAATTTAAGGAAAAAAGCACATTTAGGAAAAAAACAAATTTATTGCCTTGAAATCAGAATTTGATTTGATAGAAAGAAAAGCAAATTGAAGAAGAAAAAGCAAATTTGCTCCCTTAAAATCCAAATTTGGAGGTGGGGATTTCTGACTGTGTAGAGGAAAAAAGGGAAATTGAAGAAGAAAAAGCAAATTTAGAAAAAAGCAAATGTAAGCAGAAAACTCCAATTGATTCCCTTGAAATCCCAGTTTGGAATTGGGATTTTTGTCTGGTGCGTTGCTGATGTTTGTCATCAAATCCTCCTTTTTCCCTTGGGTTTTCCCTGCTGGTTTTGGGGTTTCCTGACTGCTTTGGGGTTTCCTGACCATCTTTGGGGTTTCCTGGCCCTTTTTGGGATTCCCTTTTGGGATTTCCTGGCCATTTTGGGGATTTTCCTGCTGGTTTTGGGATTCCCTGACCATTTCTTGGGATTTCCCTGCTGCCTTTGGGATTTCTGATTTTCCCTTGGGTTTCCCTGCTGGTTTTGGGGTTTCCTGACTGGTTTTGGGATTTCATGACCGTTTTTGTGGTTTCCTGGCCGCTTTTGGGATTCCTTGGCCGCTTTTGGGATTTCCCTGCTGTCTTTGGGGTCTCTCTGCTGTCTTTGGGGTCTCCCTGCTGTCTTTGGGGTCTCCCTGCTGTCTTTGGGGTTTCCTGGCCACTTTTGGGGTTTCCCTGCTGTCTTTGGGTTTCCCTGCTGTCTTTGGGGTTTCCCTGCTGTCTTTGGAGTTTTCTGGCTGCTTTTGGGTTTCCCTGCTTCTTTTGGGATTCCCTGGCCGCTTTTGGGATTCCTTGGCCGCTTTTGGGATTTCCCTGCTGTCTTTGGAGTTTTCTGGCTGCTTTTGGGGTTTCCTGGCCGCTTTTGGGATTCCCTGGCTGCTTTTAGGTTTCCCTGCTGTCTTTGGGGTTTCCCTGCTGTCTTTGGGGTTTCCCTGCTGTCTTTGGGGTTTCCCTGCTGTCTTTTGGGGTTTCCTGGCTGCTTTTGGGTTTCCCTGCTTCTTTTGGGATTCCCTGGCCGCTTTTGGGGTTTCCCTGCTGTCTTTGGGGTTTCCTGGCCGCTTTTGGGTTTCCCTGCTGTCTTTTAGGTTTCCCTGCTGTCTTTGTGGTTTCCCTGCTCTCTTTGTGGCTTCCCTGCTCTCTTTGTGTTTCCCTGCTCTCTTTTGGGTTTCCCTGCTCTTTTTTGGGTTTCCCTGCTCTCTTTGGGTTTTCCCTGTTCTCTTTGTGTTTCCCTGCTCTCTTTTAGGTTTCCCTGCTATCTTTGTGTTTCCCTGCTATCTTTGGGGTTTCCCTGCCATCTTTGTGTTTCTCTGCTCTCTTTGGCGTTTCCCTGCTGTCTTTTGGGATTTCCCAGCCACTTTTAGGTTCCCCTGCTCTCTTTGTGTTTCCCTGCTGTCTTTTAGGTTTCCCTGCTATCTCTGTGGTTTCCCTGCTCTCTTTGGGATTTCCCTGCTCTCTTTGGGATTTCCCTGCTCTCTTTGGGATTTCCCTGCTCTCTTTGGGATTTCCCTGCTCTCTTTGGGATTTCCCTGCTCTCTTTGGGGTTTCCCTGCTCTCTTTGGGGTTTCCCTGCTCTCTTTGGGGTTTCCCTGCTCTCTTTTAGGTTTCCCTGCTCTCTTTGTGTTTCCCCACTCTCTTTGTGTTTCCCTGCTATGTTTTAGGTTTCCCTGCTATCTCTGTGTTTCCCTGCTCTCTTTGTGTTTCCCTGCCATCTTTGTGTTTCCCCGCTCTCTTTGTGGTTCCCCTGCCATCTTTGTGATTTCCCTGCTGTCTCTGTGTTTTTCCCTGCCGTCTCTGTGTCCCCTGACCTCTCTCGGCTCCCCTGCAGCTCCCAGGACGGTGTGGCCGGACGAGCTGATGGGTCCCTTCGGGCCGCAGGACCAGCGCTTCCAGCTGCCGGGGCACATGGGCTTCGGCTGCCACCTGCACGGCACCGCCCCCCAGAGAGCCCGGCCCGCCCCCAGCCTGCCCGACCTCCTGGCCGAGCCCTCGGCCGGCGACAGGCACGAGTTTGTCATGGCCCAGTGCATCAGCGAGTTCCAGGTGAGAGCAGCCCCTGCATGGCTGTGCCCTGACCCATCCCTTCGCCCAGGGGATGCTCCTGGGGAGCTGAGAAGCCCCAGAGGAAAAGGAGAACAGTCCTGGTCTGGGTTATCATTATTTGCTTTGGAATGTGGTTGGACACTGTTTAGCCACAGGTGATGGTTTCATGTGAATTGTTTTGTCTGAATGGTCAGTCAGGGCCAAGCTGTATTGAGGCTCTGGAAAGAGCTGAGTTTCATTATTTTAGCCTTCTGTAAGTAGCCCTTCTGTATTCTTTAGTGTAGTTTAGTGCAGCATTCTTTAATGTAATATAGGATCTTAAAGTTATAAATAAGCCTCCGAGAACATGGAGTCAGATCCTTTCCTTTCCTTTCCTTTCCTTTCCTTTCCTTTCCTTTCCTTTCCTTTCCTTTCCTTTCCTTTCCTTTCCTTTCCTTTCCTTTCCTTTCCTTTCCTTTCCTTTCCTTTCCTTTCCTTTCCTTTCCTTTCCTTTCCTTTCCTTTCCTTTCCTTTCCTTTCCTTCCCTTCCTTCCCTCCCTTTCCTCCCTTTCTCTCCTTTCCTTCCTCCCTTTCCCTCCCTTTCCCCCCCTTTCCCTCCCTTTCCCTCCCTTTCCCCTTTCCTTTCCCTTTTCCCTTCCCCTTTCCCCTTTCCCTTTCCCCTTTTCCCTTTCCCTTTTCCCCTTCCCTTTTCCCCTTTCCCTTTTCCCCTTTCCCTTTTCCCCTTTCCCTTTTCCCCTTTCCCTTTTCCCCTTTCCCTTTTCCCCTTTCCCTTTTCCCCTTTCCCTTTTCCCCTTTCCCTTTTCCCCTTTCCCTTTTCCCCTTTCCCTTTTCCCCTTTCCCTTTCCCCTTTCCCTTTTCCCCTTTCCCCCTTTCCCTTTCCCCCTTTCCCTTCCCCCCTTTCCCTTCCCCCCTTTCCCCTTCCCCCCTTTCCCCTTCCCCCCTTTCCCCTTCCCCCCTTTCCCCTTCCCCCCTTTCCCCTTCCCCCCTTTCCCCTTCCCCCCTTTCCCCTTTCCCCTTTCCCCTTTCCCCTTTCCTTCCTTCCCTTTCCCCTTCCTTCCCTAGCAACCCCCTGCATGTGGAACAAGCACAACTCTCTTCTTCCTCAAAAAGGATTTTTCTGCACCATTTTCTGCCACAAAAGCTGCCTCAAGGTGGTTCTTTTTTAGGAGAAAAAGATTTCAGGCTGTTTTGAAGCAGCATTTTAGGAGTGATTAATGGGAAGATTTCAGTCCCCAAACCTGCTGTTGGCCAAGTCTCACCACTTTTTACCCTGTAAAGTTGAAATGTCTCTCAGTATTTTAGTTCATGGATCTGGATTTGCAAAGCTTGGGCAATGTTTAGTTCTGAAAACCATGGAATTCACAGAGGAATCCCTCAACCTCATAATGAGAGATTCATCATTGTAAAATTGAAATTTCTTTCAGGATTTTATTTCATGGATCTGGATTTGCAAAGCTTTGGCAATATTTAGTTCTAAAAAATCCTGGAATTCACTCAGAAATCCCCCAATGATTCATCATTATGAATCCACCCAGTAAAATTGGAATTTTCCTTCAGGATTTTAGTTCATGGATCTGGATTTGCAAAGCTTTGGCACTATTTAGTTCTAAAAACCATGGAATTCACAGAGGAATCCCTCAACCTCATAATGAGAAATTCATCATTGTAAAATTGAAATTTCTTTCAGTATTTTAGTTCATGGATCTGGATTTGCAAAGCTTTGGCAATGTTTAGTTCTAAAAATCCTGGAATTCACCCAGAAATTCCCCAATCTCACAATGATTCATCATTATGAATCCACCCAGTAAAATTGGAATTTTCCTTCAGGATTTTAGTTCATGGATCTGGATTTGCAAAGTTTGGGCAATGTTTAGTTCTGAAAATCCTGGAATTCACAGAGGAATCCCTCAACCTCATAATGAGAGATTCATCATTGTAAAATTGAAATTTCTTTCAGTATTTTATTTCATGGACCTGGATTTGCAAAGTTTGGGCAATGTTTAGTTCCAAAAACCATGGAATTCACCCAGAAATTCCCCAATCTCACAATGATTCATCATTATGAATCCACCCAGTAAAATTGGAATTTTCCTTCAGGATTTTAGTTCATGGATCTGGATTTGCAAAGTTTGGGCAATGTTTAGTTCTAAAAAATCCTGGAATTCATTCAGGAATCTCCTAAGCTCCCAATGAGAGATTCATCATTTTCAATCCACCCAGTAAAATTGAAATTTCCTTCAGTATTTTGTATTTTGCAGAGTTTAGGCAATGTTTAGTTCTAAAAATTCTCTATCTTTTTCTATCTTTTCAGATTTTAAATAACTTCTAGTAACTTTCAATATTGTTAATAATATCATTATTTCAATATTTAATATGAAAAGTGTGAGGTGCCACTGCAAATCAGCTGCTGGAGTGTATCTGATCACTAAACCCTATTTTGATGCACAGAGTTATTCCTGTTTGATATTAACAGTGAAAAATTGAATTTTTCTGGTTTTTAGGGTTCTGATGCTCCCCAGAAGCAGCAGATCAATAATGCTGAGACCTACTTTGAAAATGCCAAGGTGGAATGTGCAGTGCAAGCCTGTCCTGAGCTGCTGAGAAAAGGTTCATTTGGATTTCCAGTCAAGAAATTCAACTTTTCTATGTAAAACCAGTGAATGGCCATGCTCTACCACAGATTGTGGCATAGAAAATTAATTCAGAATTAATCAGTACCAAAATCCCTTTGGATAGAATGGAAACCAAGTGCTGTTGGCGTTATTTAATTTAATAATTTTATTTTTAAATTAATTTAAAATATTTGCTATTGATAATATTTAATATTTCATTTAAATGTAATTTTTAATTGTTTTAGTGCCAGGGAAATTTTGGAGTTAATTCCTTATTCAAAATCCAGTTATGAAATCCTTTGGAATTGCTGAACAAAACAACAAATGGGAACCAGGAAACTTCAGAATTTGTGGTTTTATCTTAATCAGGAAGGAAGTGACAGAAATTAAATGGGAATAAAACAGAGTAGAATGGAAACCAAAGCTTTGCTGTTGATAATATCCAATATTTCATTTAAAATGTTATTTTTAGTTGTTGTTTTACTGGGAAATTCTGGAGTTAATTCCTTACCCAAAATCCAGTTATAAAATCCTTTGGAATTGCTGAACAAAACAAATGGGAATCAGGAAATTTCTGCAAGCACTGAATTTCTGGTTTTCATTTATTTGGAAGGAAATGACCAAAATTAAATGGGAACCATTTAATATCTTTGCAGATTTGAAATAACTTTAGTAACTCTCAATATTGTTAATAATATTATTATTTCAATATCGAATATGAAAATTGTGAAGTACAAATCATCTGAAACTGCTTGAGTGTATTTAATGAAATTTAATTAATTATTAAATTAGATTTAGTTAAATGGGAGCCATTTAATTATATAAAAAGAAAAAATAATAACAAAATAGGAGATGAAATGGGAACAATTTAATGAAATAAAAAGTAAAAATAATAACAGAATAGGAGAGGAAATGGGAACAATTTAATTAAATAAAAAGTAAAAATAATAACAAAATAGGAGATGAAATGGGAACAATTTAATTAAATAAAAAGTAAAAATAATAACAGAATAGGAGAGGAAATGGGAACAACTTAATTAAATAAAAAGTAAAAATAATACCAGAATAGGAGAGGAAATGGGAACAACTTAATTAAATAAAAAGTAAAAATAGTAACAGAATAGGAGAGGAAATGGGAACAACTTAATTAAATAAAAAGTAAAAATAGTAACAGAATAGGAGAGGAAATGGGAACAATTTAATTAAATAAAAAGTAAAAATAATCAAAATAAATAAATAATAATTTTAAATTAATAATAATATAAATATATTTATATAATTTAATATATAAATTAGAAATATATTCATATAATTTAATATATAGATTTTATATAAAATATATAGAAATTTAGATATAAATTATTTAACTTAATATATAATTGAATATATAAATCGCTGTAATTTAATATATAAAGTATATAAGTAGATGTTTATATAAATATATGTGTATATGTTAATATAGAAATATGTATGTATTTATATATATTAAATATAAAATTTTAAAATTAAAATATAATTAAAATATACATTAAAATATACACATATATTTATATATATATAAATAGAATTGTTTTTATTCTATAAAATTATTATAATAACTAAAAAATGAAAATGAACCAAATGCAAGAAAGCAGTTTAAGAAGGGAGATGTGCCTGCAGTGTTGCTGTGGGTGGGAGGGCAGGCTGCCATGGCAGGGCAGGACCAACTCTGCTTTTCCCCACGTTCAGATTTCCAGTCGCTGTTCCCGGAGGTGAGGCCCAAGCGCCTGACCGTGCTCACCGTCACCCAGAGGAGCCAGCACGACATGAGCGTGTGGAGCCAGGAGGTGGAGGAGGAGAGGGAGATGCTCCTGGAAAATGTCAGCTCATTCACTAACCTGCCCCACTTAAATCCTATTGCAGTCCTGAGAGATAGAGAGAGATATATAATATAGCTCCATATTCGATATATATATAGAGAGATATAATATAGATCCATATTCGATATAGATAGATATAATATAGCTCCATATTTGATATATATATAGAGAGATATAATATAGCTCCATATTCGATATATATAGAGAGATATAATATAGATCCATATTTGATATATATAGAGAGATATATAATATAGCTCCATATTCAATATATATATAGAGAGAGATAATATAGCTCCATATTTGATATATATAGAGAGAGATATAGATCCATATTCGATACATATAGAGAGATATATAATATAGCTCCATATTTGATATATATATATAGAGATATAATATAGCTCCATATTCAATATATACATATAGAGATATAATATAGATCCATATTCAATATATATAGAGATATAATATAGATCCATATTCGATATATATAGAGAGATATATAATATAGCTCCATATTCGATATATACATATAGAGATATAATATAGATCCATATTCGATATATATAGAGAGATATAATATAGGTCCATATTCGATATATATAGAGAGAGATATAATATAGATCCATACACCGTCACCCAGAGGAGCCAGCACGACATGAGCGTGTGGAGCCAGGAGGTGGAGGAGGAGAGGGAGATGCTCCTGGAAAATGTCAGCTCATTCACTAACCTGCCCCACTTCAAATCCTATTGCAGTCCTGAGAGATAGAGAGATAGATAGAGTATAGCTCCATATTCGATATATAGAGAGATATATAATATAGATCCATATTTGATATATATAGAGAGAGATATAATATAGATCCATATTCTATATATAGAGATATATATAATATAGATCCATATTCTATATATATAGAGAGAGATATATAATATAGATCCATATTCAATATATATAGAGAGAGATATAATATAGATCCATATTTGATATATAGAGATATAATATAGCTCTATATTTGATATATATAGAGAGAGAGATATAATATAGATCCATACACCGTCACCCAGAGGAGCCAGCACGACATGAGCGTGTGGAGCCAGGAGGTGGAGGAGGAGAGGGAGATGCTCCTGGAAAATGTCAGCTCATTCACTAACCAGCCCCACTTCAAATCCTATTGCAGTCCTGAGAGATAGAGAGAGATATATAATATAGCTCCATATTCGATATATATATAGAGAGATATATAATATAGCTCCATATTCGATATAGATATATAGATATATAATATAGCTCCATATTTGATATATATATAGAGAGATATAGATCCATATTCGATATATATAGAGAGATATATAATATAGATCCATATTTGATATATATAGAGATATAATATAGCTCCATATTTGATATATACATATAGAGATATAATATAGATCCATATTCAATATATATATAGAGATATAATATAGCTCCATATTCAATATATATAGAGAGAGATATAATATAGATCCATATTTGATATATATAGATATAATATAAATCCATATTTGATATATATAGAGAGAGATATAATATAGATCCATATTCAATATATATATAGAGATATAATATAGCTCCATATTCAATATATATAGAGAGAGATATAATATAGATCCATATTTGATATATATAGATATAATATAAATCCATATTTGATATATATAGAGATATAATATAGCTCCATATTCGATATATATATAGAGAGATATAATATAGCTCCATATTCGATATATATATAGAGATATAATATAGCTCCATACACCGTCACCCAGAGGAGCCAGCACGACATGAGCGTGTGGAGCCAGGAGGTGGAGGAGGAGAGGGAGATGCTCCTGGAAAATGTCAGCTCATTCACTAACCAGCCCCACTTCAAATCCTATTGCAGTCCTAAGAGATAGAGAGAGATATAATATAGATCCATATTCGATATATATATAGAGACATAACATAGATCCATATTCGATCTATAGAGAGATATATATAACATAGATCCATATTCGATATATATAGAGAGATATAATATAGATCTATATTCGATATATATAGATATATAATATAGCTCCATATTCGATATATATAGAGAGATATATAATATAGATCCATATTCGATATATACAGAGAGAGATATAATATAGCTACATATTCGATACATATAGAGAGATATATAATATAGATCCATATTCGATATATATAGAGATATAATTTAGCTCCATATTCGATATATATAGAGAGATATATAATATAGCTCCATATTCGATATAGATAGATATAATATAGATCTACATTGTATAGATAAATATATATATAATATAGAACCATATTTGATATATATAGAGAGCTATATATAATATAGCTCCATATTCTATATATCTATATATAGATATAATATAGATCTATATTATATAGATAGATGTATGTAATATAGCTCCATATTTTATATATAGAGAGATATATATATAACATAGATCCATATTATATATATAGATGTGTTATAGATATATATTATATATATAGAAATATATAATATAGATCCCTATTCTATGTATAGAGAGAGGTATATATAATATAGCTCCATATTCGATATATATACAGAGATATATAGAATATAGATCCATATTCTATAGATATATAGATGGATATAATATAGATCTGTATTATGTAGATAGATATATACGATATAAATCCATATTCTATATATAGAGATATATATAATATAGATCCATATTTTTATATATATTATAGATCCATATTCAATATATAGAGGTATGTGTATATATAATATAGCTCCATATTCAATATATAGAGATATGTACATATACTATAGATCCATATTCAAAATATAGAGGTATGTATATATAATATAGCTCCATATTCAATATATATATAGAGAGATATATAATATAGATCTATATTCTATCTATATATATAGATATGTATAATATAGATCCATGTTTTATATATATATTATAGATCCATATTTTATATATAGAGGTATATATAATTTAGATCCATATTCTATATATATAGATATATATAATACAGATCCATATTCTATATATATAGTTATATATAATACAGATCCATATTTTATATAGAGATATGAGATCCTTATTCTGTATCTATAGAGAGATGCATATAGATCTATATTCTATATATATAGAGATCTATATAATATAGATCTATATATAATCTAGATCTCTATTACATTATTAAATGTAATAGAATAGATTACATTTTTATCTTTAATATTATTTATAATACACTTCTATTATAGTTGTTCATTATTAATTATCATTTACTGTTTACTTCATTTAATTAAGATTCCACTGCACTTTTTGCTGGTCAAAAATGTAAAAATCATCAATTTCTCTGGGGTTTTTTTCCACTTTAATGAATGTTTTTAATTCTTTTAACCCCGAATTTCAAAAATGTAAAAATGTGAAAATATGTAAAAAACACCAATTTCTCTGGGGCTTTTTCCACTTTAATGAATGTTTTTAATTCTTTTAACCCCGAATTTCAAAAATGTAAAAATGTGAAAATATGTAAAAAACACCAATTTCTCTGGGGCTTTTTCCACTTTAATGAATGTTTTTAATTCTTTTAACCCCTAATTTCAAAAATGTGAAAATATGTAAAAACCACCAATTTCTCTGGGGTTTTTTCCACTTTAATGAATGTTTTTAATTCTTTTAACCCCGAATTTCAGTTGTGTTTTTTCATCTTAACTTTGTCTTGTTCTTTTACCTCTAGAGGGCTCTGAAAATCCCTTTATTTCCCATTTTCCACCATTTTTCCATTTCCCCACCAAGTGTCGCTGTTCACTGCCCTTAGCACCTCAAAAAAAGAACATTTCTGCCTATTCTTTGTAAAATATCCCCAAACCCAGCATTTCATCTGGAATTAAATCATATTTATGCCTGAAATTAATCCAGCTCAAATATTTATTAAACTCACTCTGAGGGACCAGAAGAGATCCTAGATCAGAAGTGTTGTGCCTAAAATTGTGATATTTGGAATTTAATTTACAGTTTGGAGTAAATCAATCATCAGAGCCATCAACCTTCAAAATACAGAATTTACTGGGGGAAATTTGCCTTATTTTGAGCTAATACAGAATTTACTTTAAATTCTCTTTATTTTTACTAAATTGAAAATTTCTCTCCTAGTAAATTTTCTTCTTTTGAATTAATACTGAATTTGTTGTCAAATTTCCCTCATTTTTAACTAATACAGAATTTACTGTAAAGGGTAAAATTCCTTCATTTTGAACTAACACAGAATTTACTGTAAAGGGTAAAATTCCTTCATTTTGAACTAATACAGAATTTACTGTAAAGGGTAAAATTCCTTCATTTTGAACTAACACAGAATTTACTGTAAAGTATAAATTTTCCTTTTTTTGAACTAACACACAATGTACTGTAGATTTCCCTTATTAATATTCATTTGAAATAAGGGTAAAATTCCCTTTTTTGAATTAATACAGAATTTATTGTAAAGGGGAAATTTCTTTCATTTTAAACTAATACAGAATTTACTGTAAAGGGTAAAATTCCCTCATTTTCTATTGAAAAGGATAAATTTTCCTTATTTTGAATTAATACAGAATTTATTGTAAAGGGTAAATTTCTTTCATTTTAAACTAATACAGAATTTACTGTAAAGGGTAAAATTCCCTTATTTTGAACTAACACAGAATTTACTGTAAAGGGTAAAATTCCCTCATTTTGAACTAATACAGAATTTATTGTAAAGGGGAAATTTCTTTAATTTTAAACTAATACAGAATTTACTTTAAATTCTCTTAATTTTTATTTTTACTAAGTTAAAAATTTCTCTCCTAGTAAATTTTCTTCTTTTGAATTAATACTGAATTTGTTGTCAAATTTCCCTCATTTTTAACTAATACAGAATTTACTGAAAAGGGTAAAATTCCTTCATTTTGAACTAACACAGAATTTACTGTAAAGGGTAAAATTCCTTCATTTTGAACTAACACAGAATTTGCTGTAAAATATAAATTTTCCTTTTTTTGAACTAACACAGAATTTGCTGTAAAGTGTAAATTTTCCTTATTTTGAACTAACACACAATGTACTGTAGATTTCCCTTATTAATATTCATTTGAAATAAGGGTAAAATTCCCTTATTTTGAATTAATACAGAATTTATTGTAAAGGGGAAATTTCTTTCATTTTAAACTAATACAGAATTTACTGTAAAGGGTAAAATTCCCTCATTTTGTATTGAAAAGGATAAATTTTCCTTATTTTGAACTAACACAGAATTTACTTTAAAGGGTAAAATTCCCTCATTTTGTAATGTAAAGGATAAATTTTCCTTATTTTGAACTAACACAGAATTTACTGTTAAGGATAAATTTTCCTTATTTTGAACTAACACAGAATTTACTTTAAAGGGTAAAATTCCCTCATTTTAAACTAATACAGAATTTACTTTAAAGGGTAAAATTCCCTCATTTTGAACTAACACAGAATTTACTGTATAGGGTAAAATTCCCTCATTTTGTATTGAAAAGGATAAATTTTCCTTATTTTGAACTAACCCAGAATTTACTGTAAAGGGGAAAATTCCCTCATTTTGAACTAATACAAAATTTCCTGTCAATGGTAAAAATTCCCTCATTTTGTATTGTAAAGGATAAATTTTCCTTATTTTGAACTAACACAGAATTTACTGTATAGGGTAAAATTCCCTCATTTTGTATTGTAAAGGATAAATTTTCCTTATTTTGAACTAATACAGAATTTACTGTAAAGGGGAAAATTCCCTCATTTTGTATTGAAAAGGATAAATTTTCCTTATTTTGAATTAATACAGAATTTATTGTAAAGGATAAATTTCTTTCATTTTAAACTAACACAGAATTTACTGTCAAGGATAAAATTCCCTCATTTTGTAATGTTAAGGATAAATTTTCCTTATTTTGAACTAACACAGAATTTACTTTAAAGGGTAAAATTCCCTTATTTTAAACTAACACAGAATTTACTGTCAAGGATAAAATTCCCTCATTTTGTATTGAAAAGGATAAATTTTCCTTATTTTGAATTAATAGAGAATTTACTGTAAAGGGGAAAATTCCCTCATTTTGAACTAATACAAAATTTCCTGTCAATGGTAAAAATTCCCTCATTTTGTATTGTAAAGGATAAATTTTCCTTATTTTGAACTAACACAGAATTTACTGTATAGGGTAAAATTCCCTCATTTTGTATTGTAAAGGATAAATTTTCCTTATTTTGAACTAACACAGAATTTACTGTATAGGGTAAAATTCCCTCATTTTGTATTGTAAAGGATAAATTTTCCTTATTTTGAACTAATACAGAATTTACTGTAAAGGGGAAAATTCCCTCATTTTGTATTGAAAAGGATAAATTTTCCTTATTTTGAATTAATACAGAATTTATTGTAAAGGATAAATTTCTTTCATTTTAAACTAACACAGAATTTACTGTAAAGGGTAAAATTCCCTCATTTTCTATTGAAAAGGATAAATTTTCCTTATTTTGAACTAATACAGAATTTACTTTAAAGGATAAATTTTCCTTATTTTGAACTAACAGAGAATTTACTGTAAAGGGGAAAATTCCCTCATTTTCTATTGAAAAGGATAAATTTTCCTTATTTTGAACTGATACAGAATTTCCTGTCAAGGGTAAAATTCCCTCATTTTGAACTAACACAGAATTTACTTTAAAGGGTAAAATTCCCTCATTTTGAACTAACACAGAATTTACTGTGAAGGGTAAAATTCCCTCATTTTGAACTAACACAGAATTTACTGTAAAGGGTAAAATTCCCTCATTTTGAACTAACACAGAATTTACTGTGAAGGGTAAAATTCCCTCATTTTGAACTAACACAGAATTTACTGTATAGGGTAAAATTCCCTCATTTTGAACTAACACAGAATTTACTTTAAAGGGTAAAATTCCCTCATTTTGAACTAACACAGAATTTACTGTGAAGGGTAAAATTCCCTCATTTTGAACTAACACAGAATTTACTGTCAAGGGTAAAATTCCCTCATTTTGAACTAACACAGAATTTGCTATAAAAGGCAAATTTCCCTTATTTTGGACCTGTAAGGGACTGAAGCTGCATAAATCATATTTTTCTAAATTTGGAACCTTGAGCTTTTTAGGGTACTAATTGCAGAGAAAATCCAATTTTTACAACTGGCAGCAAATAAATGATTTTATTTATAACAAGTAAAGTTAGAAATAATTCATTTTGTGTGATAACCTCATTTGATGCCTTTCTTTTCCCAATTTTTCCCTTCCAGTTCATCAATGGTGCCAAGGAAATCTGCTATGCAATTTCTGCTGAGGGCTACTGGGCTGATTTCATTGATCCATCCTCAGGACTGGCAGTAAGTTCTTTCTTGCAGTAAAATTGGGATTAAATCCAACATTTTCAGGCTAATTCCCTGAATAAATGAGGATGTGTCAGCTGTGAGTGCAGGGCCAGCATTGCCAGGAAATGAAATTGGATTTTAGGGAACTGGAGAAGTTTTATGCCCCAAATCCCTTGGGCACTTTCTGCTGTGCCCAGGTAACTTGGGAACCCTGTGCAGGTGAAGGCTTTAAAAAACCTCATTTTGCACCTCTTAATGATCCCTTTGTCCCCAAAAAAAGGAACTTTTTGTTCCTGGGCAACACTGGGAGCTTTCAGTGGGAGATGAGCTTTAGTTTGAGCTCTGCTAAAACCGTATCAGAGCTCAAGGGGATGGTGGAAAAGCTGGGCTTAGTGGGGTTGATTTAAAAACACTCCAAAAAGCAGGGATTTATTGTGCCAACAGAGGCAACCAGGGCATGTGTGCAAGGCAGAGCAGGCAGGCCAGGGGGGGAAAAGCTGCCCAGAATTCCCTGTCCTGAAAGAATTGGGGATTGATGGAAATGGGGTTTTATAGGCCAGGGGTGGAGAAGCTGCCCAGAATTCCCTGTCCTGACAGAATTGGGGATTGATGGAAATGGGGTTTTGTCTTCAGACTCCAGCAGCAACATCCTGGCCCTGAATCAGGCTGGGGTTTAAGTCAGAAGCTTCCTCCTGAGATAAAGAACTGAAATATCTGTGTGCAGCTTAAATAACAGTTTAATTGAAATACTTAAATACCAGTTTAATTTAAAAAGTTAAATACCAGTTCAATTTAAAAACTTAAACACCAGTTCAATTTAAAAACTTAAATGCCAGTTCAATTAAAAAACTTAGATACCACTTCAATTTAAAAACTTAGATACCAGTTCAATTTAAAAACTTAAATACCAGTTCAGTTAAAAAACTTAAATACCAGTTCCATTTAAAAACTTAAATACCAGTTCAATTTAAAAACTTATATACCAGTTAAATTTAAAAACTTAAATACCAGTTCAATTTAAAAACTTATATACCAGTTCAATTAAAAAACTCAGATACCAGTTCAATTTAAAAACCTATATACCAGTTCAATTTAAAAACTTAAACACCAGTTCAATTTAAAAACTTAAATGCCAGTTCAATTTAAAAACTTAAATACCAGTTCAGTTTAAAAACTTAGATAACAGTTCAATTAAAAAACTTAGATACCACTTCAATTTAAAAACTTAGATACCAGTTCAATTTAAAAACTTAAATACCAGTTCAGTTAAAAAACTTAAATACCAGTTCCATTTAAAAACTTAAATACCAGTTCAATTTAAAAACTTAGATACCAGTTCAATTTAAAAACTTAAATACCAGTTCAATTTAAAAACTTAAATACCAGTTCAATTTAAAAACTTAGATACCAGTTCAATTTAAAAACCTATATACCAGTTCAATTTAAAAACTTAAATACCAGTTCAATTTAAAAACTTAAATACCAGTTCAATTTAAAAACTTAGATACCAGTTCAATTTAAAAACTTAAATACCAGTTTAATTTAAAAACTTACATACAAATTCAATTAAGAACTTAAATACTAGTTTAATTTAAATACCTGTCTGCAACGTAAATATCAGTTTCATTTAAATATCAGTTTCATTTAAATACCTGCTTGCAACTTAAATATCAGTTTAAATACTTAAATACCACTTTCATTTAAATACCTGTTTGTAACTTAAATACCAGTTTAATTGAAATACTTAAATACCAGTTTAACTTAAATACCTGTTTGCAACTCAATCGCATTTTTGCTCCTGTAACCAACTTTCTTTAGGGTGTTACTGCAAAGTTGAGTTGTTCATTTTTGAATTAATTGAGTTCATTTATTTAGTGGAGTTATTCATTTTTGAATGAATTCATTTATTTAATGGAGTTGTTCATTTTTGAATTAATTGAGTTCATTTATTTAGTGGAGTTGTGAATTTTTGAATGAATTCATTTATTTAACGGAGTTGTTCATTTTTGAATTAATCAAGTTAATTTATTTAGTGGAGTTGTTAATTTTTGAATTAATTGAATTCATTTATTTAGTGGAGTTGTTCATTTTTGAATTAATTAATTTATTTAGTGGAGTTGTTAATTTTTGAATGAATTCATTTATTTAATGGAGTTGTTCATTTTTGAATGAATTGAGTTCATTTATTTAGTGGAGTTGTTCATTTTTGAATTAATTTATTTATTTAGTGGAGTTGTTCATTTTTGAATGAGTTAATTTATTTAATGGAGTTGTTCATTTTTTAATTAATTTATTTATTTAATGGAGTTGTTCATTTTTTAATTAATTGAGTTCATTTATTTAGTGGAGTTGTTAATTTTTGAATTAATTAATTTATTTAGTGGAGTTGTTCATTTTTGAATGAGTTAATTTATTTAATGGAGTTGTGAATTTTTGAATGAATTGAGTTCATTTATTTAGTGGAGTTGTTCATTTTTGAATGAGTTAATTTATTTAGTGGAGTTGTTAATTTTTGAATGAATAAATTTATTTAGTGGAGTTGTTAATTTTTGAATGAGTTAATTTATTTAGTGGAGTTGTTCATTTTTGAATGAATTCATTTATTTAATGGAGTTGTTCATTTTTGAATTAATTAATTTATTTAGTGGAGTTGTTAATTTTTGAATTAATTGAGTTCATTTATTTAGTGGAGTTGTGAATGTTTGCAGTTTCCTAGGAAGTTCCTCTCCTTAGTCCATGTCCCGTTTCCGGCAGGGCTCTGCCCTTAACTCCTCCCAAAGCTGAGCCTGGGACTGGGATTTCAAAGTAAAACCTTTCAAAACTCCACACCTAAAACTCCTCCCCGCACCTGAACTCAAGCTCACCTTTCACCCACCCCTCAGAACCTGAAATCCTTGTGGAAAACCTTGGATTTCTTCTTCTTTTCCTTCAGTTTTTCGGGCCTTACAGCAACCGCCCCCTGCTGGAGACCGACGAGCGCTACCGGCACTTGGGCTTTGCCGTGGACGACCTGGGCTGCTGCAAAGTGATCCGGCACCACCTGTGGGGCACCCACGTGCTCGTGGGCAGCATCTTCACCAATGCTGAGCCCGACAGCCCCGTCATGAGGAGGCTCAGTGGCTGCTGAGCCTGACAGCCCCGTCATGAGGAGGCTCAGTGGCTGCTGAGCCCAACAGCCCCGTCATGAGGAGGCTCAGTGGCTGCTGAGCCCGACAGCCCCGTCATGAGGAGGCTCAGTGGCTGCTGAGCCCAACAGCCCCGTCATGAGGAGGCTCAGTGGCTGCTGAGCCCGACAGCCCCGTCATGAGGAGGCTCAGTGGCTGCTGAGCTCCCTCAGCCCCATCATGAGGAGGCTCAGTGGCTGCTGAGCCTGACAGCCCCGTCATGAGGAGGCTCAGTGGCTGCTGAGCCCAACAGCCCCGTCATGAGGAGGCTCAGTGGCTGCTGAGCCTGACAGCCCCGTCATGAGGAGGCTCAGTGGCTGCTGAGCTCCCTCAGCCCCGTCATGAGGAGGCTCAGTGGCTGCTGAGCCCGACAGCCCCGTCATGAGGAGGCTCAGTGGCTGCTGAGCCCGACAGCCCCGTCATGAGGAGGCTCAGTGGCTGCTGAGCCTGACAGCCCCGTCATGAGGAGGCTCAGTGGCTGCTGAGCTCCCTCAGCCCCGTCATGAGGAGGCTCAGTGGCTGCTGAGCCCGACAGCCCCGTCATGAGGAGGCTCAGTGGCTGCTGAGCCCGACAGCCCCGTCATGAGGAGGCTCAGTGGCTGCTGAGCCTGACAGCCCCGTCATGAGGAGGCTCAGTGGCTGCTGAGCTCCCTCAGCCCCGTCATGAGGAGGCTCAGTGGCTGCTGAGCCTGACAGCCCCGTCATGAGGAGGCTCAGTGGCTGCTGAGCTCCCTCAGCCCCGTCATGAGGAGGCTCAGTGGCTGCTGAGCTCCCTCAGCCCCGTCATGAGGAGGCTCAGTGGCTGCTGAGCTCCCTCAGCCCCATCATGAGGAGGCTCAGTGGCTGCTGAGCCCGACAGCCCCGTCATGAGGAGGCTCAGTGGCTGCTGAGCTCCCTCAGCCCCATCATGAGGAGGCTCAGTGGCTGCTGAGCTCCCTCAGCCCCGTCATGAGGAGGCTCAGTGGCTGCTGAGCTCCCTCAGCCCCGTCATGAGGAGGCTCAGTGGCTGCTGAGCTCCCTCAGCCCCGTCATGAGGAGGCTCAGTGGCTGCTGAGCTCCCTCAGCCCCGTCATGAGGAGGCTCAGTGGCTGCTGAGCCTGACAGCCCCGTCATGAGGAGGCTCAGTGGCTGCTGAGCTCCCTCAGCCCCGTCATGAGGAGGCTCAGTGGCTGCTGAGCCTGACAGCCCCGTCATGAGGAGGCTCAGTGGCTGCTGAGCTCCCTCAGCCCCATCATGAGGAGGCTCAGTGGCTGCTGAGCCCGACAGCCCCGTCATGAGGAGGCTCAGTGGCTGCTGAGCCCTCCCTGCAGCTCCCTCAGCCTCCTGCCCCATCTTGGGATGGAGTTCTTGGCTGATCCTCCCTCGGTATGGCCAGGGCTTGCTCACTTCCAAGTGTTCTTAGAGAATAAAAGTAGCTGGTATTTATTTCTAGGCTTTTGGGAATGTGTGTTCACCACGTGTGGCTTTGGAATATGGATGGACAGTGGTGAGAATCAAAGGAGGGATCGTTTCCTTTTGAAATTCTCCATTTTCTCTTACATCAAGCAGTGAAATAACTGCTGAGGAATAGGGATGGACAGCGTTGAGAATCAGAGGAGGGATCGTTGCCTTTTGAAATTCTCAGTCTTCTCTTACGTCAGCAGTGAAATAATTGCTGAGGAATAGGGATGGACAGCATTGAGAATCAGAGGAGGGATCATTTCCTTTTGAAATTCTCCATCTTCTCTTACCTCAGCGGTTCTTTCACTGCTTGATGTAGTGCTTAGAATCCTCTGAAAATGCCACTGAAATTCCCAACAAATCTGCCATTCCTGAAATTAGGAACTGGCAAAAAAAAACACAGAATGAGTCATAAAATTGTTCTCCCAGAATACAGAACTTAATAAAATCTGGGCTAATCACTCATTTGCTGTTGGAAAATGAGAATGAGGTCAACTTCCAGTGGTCTCCAACTCATCCAGAGACTCCATAAAAACTCCTTAATTACCTTGGAATTACTCATCTCTTACTGTTTTTTGTCTTCATGGTGCTTGGGATTTATTTTCTCAGTATTAGCTAAATATATTTAATTAGTTTATATACCTAAATGTAATTTAAAGTTGCTTTTGTAACTTTCTTAGGTCATTAAATACAAGAAAAAAAAAGAGATAATAGGGCAATGCTTGGATCTCATCATTGTTTTCCTGGACTTGGATGCAATTTAGATTTGCCTCTGGAATTTGGAAATTAGTTAGGATCAGTTATTGCAATTAGAGATGTTTCAACAGGAAGGTTCCAGGCTCCCCAGGTCTTACAAAAACACTCAGTCAATGGTGGGAGCAGCAGGGCAGGAATTCCAAGGCTCCTGAAACCCCTGGAATTTCAGTGCCTTGCACTTTGGCTCAGGGGCTGAAGCAATAAAGGAGATTTGGATCCCATCCCAGGCAGTGTGGGGCCATTTTTATGGAGCAGTGGGAACCTCTCAGGCTTTATTCCATGGGAATGTGCAGCAGCTCAGGATCCAGGGATTTTACCTCAACCTTTGTTGTTATCCTGGGATAACAGTTTGGGACCCTTTTTTATGGAGCAGTGGGAACCTTTCAGGCTTTATTTCACAGGAATGTGCAGCAGCTCAGTGTGGCTGAGGATCCAGGGATTTTAACTTGATCTTTGGAGCCATTTTCATGGAGCAATGGGAATCCAGGCTTTATTCCAGCTCAGTCTGGGTGAGGATCCAGGGATTTTACCTCGACCTTTGGTGTTCTCCCAGAAAGTTTGGGACCCTTTTTATGGAGCAGTGGAATCCTTCAAGCTTAATTCCACAGAAATGTGCAGCAGCTCAGTGTGGGTGAGGATCCAGGGATTTTAACTTGCTCTTTGCTGTTATCCCAGGCACTTCTGGAGCCATTTTCATGGAGCAAAGAGAATCCAGGCTTTATTCCAGCTCAGTGTGGCTCAGGATCCAGGGATTTTAACTTGATCTTTGGTGTTATCCCAGGCACTTTGGAGCCATTTTTATGGAACAGTGGGAATCCTTCAGGCTTTATTCCACAGAAATGTGCAGCAGCTCAGTGTGGGTGAGGATCCAGGGATTTGAACTTGATCTTTATTGTTATCCTGGGGTAACAGTTTAGGACCCATGTTTCCTGGAGCAGTGGGAATCCTTCAAACTTTATTCCATGGGAATGTGCAGCAGCTCAGTGTGGCTGAGGATCCAGGGATTTTACCTTGATCTTTGGTGTTATCCCAGAAAGTTTGGGACCCTTTTTATGGAGCAGTGGGAATCCTTCAGGCTTAATTCCACAGGAATGTGCAGCAGCTCAGTGTGGGTGAGGATCCAAGGATTTTAACTTGATCTTTGCTGTTATCCCAGGCACTTTTGGAGCCCTTTTTATGGAGCAAAGAGAATCCAGGCTTTATTCCAGCTTAATGTGGGTGAGAATCCAGGGATTTTAACTTGATCTTTGGAGCCATTTTCAAGGAGCAAAGAGAATCCAGGCTTTATTCCAGCTCAGTGTGGGTGAGGATCCAGGGATTTTAACTTGATCTTTGCTGTTATCCCAGGCAGTTTGGGACCCTTTTTATGGAGCAGTGGGAATCCTTCAGGCTTAATTCCATGGGAATGTGCCAGCAGCTCAGTGTGGGTGAGGATCCAGGGATTTTAACTTGATCTTTGGAGCCATTTTCACAGAGCAATGAGAATCCAGGCTTTATTCCAGCTCAGTGTGGCTGAGGATCCAGGGATTTTCCCTTGCCCTTTGCTGTTATCCCAGTGTTTTCCAACCCCATGGATTCCAGACCTGGCCCAGGCTCTAAGCCAGGCCCAGCAAGGCTTTCCTGGCTTTAGGAGCAGCTCCTGGAGCAAGTGCCCCTCTCTGGCCCTGTCACCTGCCCTTCATGGCCTGGCTGCATCACAGACAGGGCTGGCAGCTGTTCCCAAAGTTCCCATTCCCAATTCCTGCCATGGAATTTGTGCTGTGACTCCAGAGCCCAGCCCTGACTGCTGCTCTCCATAAAATCTCTGTTACTCCAAGGATTTTATTCCTATTTTTTTTTTGTTTCCTTCTTAAGAAGATTAAAGAAGTTGAGAACTGCAGTGTGTTGTGTCTGTTTGCAAAATCTACGGCAGAAGGCTCTCACTGGACATTTGGGGGAATTTTCTTGGAAAAAATGTGGAATTCTTCACATAAACTGTAAATACCTTGTAGATTTGATGATTTATCTTCAGCTGGCTTCCTGTAATTCCAGTTAAGATTGGGATGTTCATTTTTGATTTCGGGTTCTTTAAGTTTTGTCCCATAAAGGACAAAAAAATTCACTTTCCAGCGGCTTTTCCTGAGGCAGAAATCTCACTGGAATATTGGGAATTTTGCCTTGACCTCATGAATATTAATGTCCATAATATTCATATTAATGAACAATAATGTTCATAATATTCATATTAATGAATAATAATGTTTTATGTAATATAAATACAATATATAATTTTATATAAATATATTATATAATATATATTATATAATTATATAATATATATTATATATATTATATATTACATATTATATAATATACATTATATAATATATATAATATATATTATATAATATATAATTTTATAATATATAAATATAATATATAATGTTTATATATATAATGTTTTTGAGGGGAGCTCCAATTCCTAATATTTTCCTAATTATGATTTTTCTTACCATTAATCCCCCAAAATACCTGGAGCTGTTCCAGTTCTGTTTTCCTCCCATCACAAGAGCCAGACTGAACTTTCTCATATAAACTCAAACTTCAGGAATACAGAATAAAATAAACAATAAAAAAAAAGTAATAATAGTAATAAAACAGTAATAATAAAACAATATAATAATAATAATGATAATGATAATAATTATAATGATAATGATAATAATAATAATAATAATAATAATAATAATAATAATAATAATAATAAATAATAATAATGGAAGTTGAAGTAGCAAATCCCAAAAAAGTTTTCAGCCAGTGGAAAGAGGATTGTTTGATGTTGAGGTGCTACACTAATTAACTAATTAACTCTGCTTAGCTAATTAACAGCAGGGGAAATATTCTGGGATGGATCTGGGGGATTCTATTCCGAATTTTCTCCTCAGCCCCTTGGGAGTTCACTGCTTTATTCCTGATGTGCTCCTGTCAGGATTTCCAGTGTATATTTATATATATAAAAATATAGTATTTCTATATAATGTATATTATGTATCCATATTTGTTTCCACATCAATATTTACATATTTATATCTTTTTATTAAGCTGTGCTTAACTTGGGAGAGAGCAAATGAACTGAGATTTAAAAAAAAAAATACAAATTAATACTCAACATTCTGCCAGGTGGAGGGAATAAAAATCCTGCAGAAAAAATGTGGGAAGACATTTGGAAAAATCAGTGTCCAGTGGTTGATGCTGAAATAATTGGGAATAATTGGGGACTGGAAATAGAGGTTTTATTCGTGGGGGATTTGTGGGACAGAGAACTCTTGGATTTTCCTGCTTCACTGAGGAAAATGGGAAAACTGCTGATCCCAACATGCCTGGGACTGGATAAATGTAAATATCAAAAATAGCCAATATTTCTTATGTATAAATATATTAAAAATATATTTATGGAAGTACAGATCTCTATAAATCTCATGTATGAAAAATCTCCTTTGTATATATAAAATATATAAAAATACATATCTATATACAAAAGTATCTATAAATCTCACATATATTAAAAACTCCTTTATATATAGAAATACATATAAATATATAAAATGTATATCTATATATAAAAGTATATCTCTATAAATCTAGTATTTATAAAAATCCCCTTTTTATATATATATTATTTAATATATATAAATTTTTATATATTATATATAAATATATATTTTTATATATAATAATATATATAAAAATATATATAAATTTATATATATTATATATAAATATATATTTTTATATATAATAATAATATATATAAATTATAAATATAAATAAATAAATTATAAATATATATTAATATAGATATTAAAATATATAAAAATATGTATCTGAAGCAAGAAATGAATGAATGAATTACAGCAAAAGGAAATGCTGCAGTGCATTTATTGAGGATTGCTTTGGTCACCTGCAGAAATTCCATTTCTTCCTCCTTTTGTTTTGCCCTCTGATCTTTGCTCCCTGTGTTTAAAATCCAGAAATACAAAAAATTCCAGGGATTTTGAGAAATGCTGGTGAGGTGGGAGGGGCTGCAGGAGTGAGGGGCGTGTGTGGAAAAGGAAATTGGGGAAGGAGGGTGGGAGAGAGAAAATCAGGAAAATTCAGAATTTAGGGACCAAACATGAGCAGGAATATGAGCAGGAATCCAAGAAATGCAGGGATTGAACTCCATCCTGTTATTTATTAATTCCTGTAATTATCTTTATTATCCTGTTCTTTATGGAGCTCATCCTCAGCAACACCTCACTGGTCCCTGCCCCTTTTCTTGATGTCCCAGGAGCCAAAAAATCCCCAAAACTGAGCTGTGTTTAGGGAATTTTATTTCTATTCCCCCTGTAAATAAAGGATCATTCCCCAAGGGATGTTTTCCTCCTGTTGAGCTCCAGCTATAAATTGTATAAATTGTTATTTCATTATTTTAAAAGCAATTCTTCTTTATTAAATAGTATAAATTGGTATTGATAAATTTTGGTAGAAATTGTTTTATAGAAAAAGAGATTAATTGAATTTGAATTTGAATTTCCTTGAATTTCCTTGAATTTGAATTTTCTTGAATTTCCTTGAATTTCCTTTTTTTAAAGCATCCAGGGAGATGCCACAGGAGGAGGGACTGGCTTGGGATTTTTATTTTTGCATAGAAAAAGAGATTGAAAACCTAAAATCCAGAGATGGGGGGAAAGGAGAGCAAAATTCCAGCTTTGGCTGGGGGTGAGACCAAAAAAAATGTTGATTTTATAGCAAAAATCATTCAAAACAAACAGTGGTATATACAATGGATAAATTGTTATTTCAGTCTTTTCAAAGCAATTATTCTTTATTTATAGTATAACTTGGTATTGATAAATTTTGGTATAAATTGTTTTATAGAAAAAGAGATTAATTGAATTTGAATTTCCTTGAATTTCCTTGAATTTGAATTTTCTTGAATTTCCTTGAATTTCCTTTTTTTAAAGCATCCAGGGAGATGCCACAGGAGGAGGGACAGGCTTGGGATTTTTATTTTTGCATAGAAAAAGAGATTAAAACCCTAAAATCCAGAGATGGGGGAAAGAAGAGCAAAATTCCAGGTTTGGCTGGGGGTGAGACCAAAAAAAAATGTTGATTTTATAGCAGAAATCATTCACAACAAACAGTGGTATAGACAATGGATAAATTGTTATTTCATTATTTAAAAGCAATTATTCTTTATTAAATAGTATAAATTGGTATTGATAAATTTTGGTAGAAATTGTTTTATAGAAAAAGAGATTAATTGAATTTGAATTTGAATTTTCTTGAATTTCCTTGAATTTCCTTTTTTTAAAGCATCCAGGGAGATGCCACAGGAGGAGGGACAGGCTTGGAATTTTTATTTTTGCATAGAAAAAGAGATTAAAACCCTCAAAACCAGAGATGGGGGAAAGGAGAGCAAAATTCCAGGTTTGGCTGGGGGTAAGACCAAAAAAAATGTTGATTTTATAGCAGAAATCATTCAAAACAAACAGAGGTATAGACAATGGATAAATTGTTATTTCAGTGTTTTAAAAGCAATTATTCTTTATTAAATGGTATAAATTGGTATTGATAAATTTTGGTTTAAATTGTTTTATAGAAAAAGAGATTAATTGAATTTGAATTTGAATTTCCTTGAATTTCCTTGAATTTGAATTTCCTTGAATTTCCTTTTTTTAAAGCATCCAGGGAGATGCCAGAGGAGGAGGGACAGGCTTGGATTTTTTTTTTTTTGCATAGAAAAAGAGATTAAAACCCTAAAATCCAGAGATGGGGGGAAAAGGAGAGCAAAATTCCAGCTTTGGCTGGGGGTGAGACCAAACAAAAATGTTGATTTTATAGCAGAAATCATTCAAAACAAACAGTGGTATAGACAATGGATAAATTGTGATTTCATTATTTAAAAGCAATTATTCTTTATTAAATAGTATAAATTGATAAATTTTGGTATAAATTGTTTTATACTGGACACAGACCTGAGGAATTCCTGTTTATTTTGGGATCCCTGGATTCTGTTTTTTCCCCTCTGTTCTGGGAAAATTCCCTATTTTCCATCATTTTCTCCCATTAATCCTGCCCTGGGTTTTTCCCTGGTGTTCCCACCAATTCCATGGCCAGAATTTTATCAGACACCTCCCAGTGAAGATTTAAATGGAGCCCTTTGATTTATACAAATGTACAAGAATTTACACCTGTTAAAAACAGGACAGGCTTGGAATTTTTATTTTTGCATAGAAAAAGAGCTTAAAACTCTAAAAACCAGAGATGGGGCAAAGGAGAGCAAAATTCCAGCTTTGGCTGGGGGTGAGACCAAAAAAAAAAATGTTGATTTTATAGCAAAAATCATTCAAAAAACAGTGGTGAAGGTCAATTTTTATAAAGATGTATATCTGGAATTTATATATATATATATATATATATATATATATATATATATATATATATATATATATATATATATATTTATATTTATATTTATATTTATATTTATATTTATATATTTATATATATTATTTTTATATATATATATATATATATATATATATATATAAAATTTATTTTTTTAATGACATCCCTGTAGAACACACTGAGCTTTTCCTTCCTGAACCTCCACGAAATCTCCCTGGAAAATTCATCCCAAGGCCACAAAATGCAGGAGAGCCCCGTCCATGAGCAAATTCCTGATTTTCCACCATATCCCACATGGATTCTGGGAGCTGGGGAGCTCTCCAGGAATCTGCATTTTTTCCCTGTCATCCCCTCACCAAAAAAAAGCATTTTCAGCCTTAAAAATACCAGAATTTGATAGAGCTCAAGTTACCTTGGAGCAGGAATAGGAAAAAATTCACTCCTGAAAGAATAATTGATTATTCTTAAAAAAAAATTAATTAAAAAACAATTTAAAGCAAGTCCACGACACCCTGCTTTTATTACTGACTTTGCAATACAAAGTTGATTTCTTAAAAAGTGATGTAAACCATTTTTTAATATATATATATTTATATTTCTATATATTTTTGATCATTTCTATATTACAAGCTCGCTGACTTGCAAACCATCCCTTTTGGAATTTTTTCCCAGCATTTCCAAACCCTCCTTGACCTAGAAAAATAAATATTGCATCCATGATTTCCCAGCAAAACAAGCACCACGGGTCACCCAAACAGCCCAGAAGCCATGGAATAAAAACCCCATGGAATAAAAACCCCATGGAATAAAAACCCCATGGAATAAAAATCCCAGGAAATGTTTTGGATTAATTTCCTCTCTTCTGGATTCCGACCTTTGGGGCTAAAATGGGAAAATATTGGAAATATTCCCCCTGAACCAGTGGGGATCAGGGGAGCAGCAGCTCTTCATTCTCCTGCTGAGGGCTGGGAATGGAAATGGGGATTTTGGGGATTTCTCTGCTGGAATTCCAGCTAATTCCCGCTGGAAATGAGGATTTTTTGGGATTTCTCTGCTGGAGTTTGAGAATTCCAGCAGTTTTCTGCCAGAAATGTGGATTTTTAGGGATTTCTCTGGTGGAATTCCAGCGGTTTTCTGCCGGAAATGCAGATTTTTTGGGATTTTTCTGGTTGAATTTAGGAATTCCAGTGGTTTTCTGCTGGAAATGAGGATTTTTAGAGATGTCCCTGGTTGAATTTCAGAATTCCTGCTATTTCCTGCTGGAAATGTGGATTTTTAGGGATTTCTCTGGCAGAGTTTGGAAATTCCAGCAGTTTCCTGCTGGAAATGAGGATTTTTAGGGATTTCTCTGGCAGAGTTTGGGAATTTCAGCAGTTTTCTGCTGGAAAATGAGGATTTTAGAGAATTCTCTGGTTGAATTTCGGAATTCCAGCTATTTCCTGCTGGAAATGAGGTTTTTTAGGGATTTCCCTGGTTGAATTTCGGAATTCCAGCGTTTTTCCGCTGGAAATGAGGATTTTTAGGAATTTCTGTGGCAGAGTTTGGGAATTCCAGCAGTTTTCTGCTGGAAAATGAGGATTTCAGGGATTTCCCTGGTTGAATTTGGGAATTCCAGTGGTTTCCTGCTGGAAATGCGGATTTTTAGGGATTTCTCTGGTTGAATTTAGGAATTCCAGTGGTTTTCTGCTGCAAATGCGGATTTTTAGGGATTTCTCTGGCAGAATTCGGGAATTCCAGCTGTTTCCTGCTGGAAATGAGGATTTTTAGGGATTTCTCTGGTTGAATTTCGGAATTCCAGTGGTTTTCTGCTGGAAAATGAGGATTTTTAGGGATTTCTCTGGTTGAATGTAGGAATTCCAGTGGTTTCCTGCTGGAAAATGAGGATTTTTAGGGATTTTTCTGGCAGAATTCGGGAATTCCAGTGGTTTCCTGCTGGAAATGAGGATTTTTAGGGATTTCTCTGGTTGAATGTAGGAATTCCAGTGGTTTCCTGCTGGAAATGAGGATTTTTAGGGATTTCTCTGGCAGAATTTGGGAATTCCAGCAGTTTTCTGCTGGAAAAATGAGGATTTTAGGGATTTCCCTGGTTGAATTTCGGAATTCCAGTGGTTTCCTGCTGGAAATGCGGATTTTTAGAGATGTCCCTGGCAGAATTTAGGAATTCCAGCTGTTTCCTGCATATCCCGGGTGTTGGGATTCCTCCTTTGCTTCCTCACTGCCCATCCCAGCGGAGCAGGAGCTGTGGGAATGCTGCATGTGTTAATTAGCGCGTGTTAATGAGCAGGGGGGGTTAATGAGCTGGGAATGCCAGCGGGCTGTTCCCAAGAGGAATACGGACATAGGAGCACTTCCAGTGCCAGTTCTTCGCCGAGGTAAGCCGGGCTTTACCCACGTTAGGCTGGGCTTGGTGGCTTTTTCCAGCCCCAGAGTCTTGTCCGGAATGGAGCGGTCCCGGGACCAGCGCGGGGTTCCGGGATCCTCCCCACAGCTCCTGCAGCAAACGGGGACGCGGAGCGGGAATTCTGCTCCCAAGGCGCGGTCCTAAACCCGGGATCAGCCAGAACCGGCCGCGAGCTCAGGGGGCCGGGCGGGCACAGCGGGGCCAGCGTGGCGCTGTCCCTGTCCTGGCACCATCCCTGTCCCTGTCTTGCCACCGTCCTGACCCTTCCTGGCCTTGGCACTGTCACCGTCTCTGTCGTTGGCGCCACCACTGTCCCGTCCTTGTCCTGTCGTTGTCATCGTCACTATCCTGTCGTTGTCATTGTTACGGTCCCTATCACGATCCCTGTCCTGTCGCGGTCTCTGTCGCTGTCACTGTCCAGTCTCTGTCCCTGTCGTTGTCATTGTTACCGTCCCTATCACCGTCCCTGTCCTGTCGCGGTCCCTCTCACTGTCACCATCACTGTCCCATCCCTGTCCTGTCGTTGTCACCGTCACCGTCCTGTCGCTGTCATTGCTACCGTCCCTGTCACGGTCTCTGTCGCTCTCGCGGTCCCTGTCGCGGTCTCTGTCACTGTCCGGTCTCTGTCACTGTCGTTCTCACTGTCCCATCTCTGTCACTGTCACTGTCATTGTCCGGTCTCTGTTGCTGTCGCTCTCACTGTCCAGTCTCTGTCGCTGTCTCTGTCACTCTCGCTGTCCCTGTCGTGGTCGCGGTCTCTGTCCCTGTCGCGGTCACTGTCCGGTCTGTGTCGCTGTCACTGTCGCAATCCCTATCCCTGTCACTCTCGCTGTCCCTATCCCTGTAGCGGTCAATGTCCGGTCTCTGTCGCGGTCACTGTCGCAATCCCTATCCCTGTCCCTGTCGCGGTCTCTGTCGCTGTCACTGTCTCTGTCACTGTCGCTCTCGCTGTCCCTGTCGCTGTCGCGGTCTCTGTCCCGTCGCTCTCGCTGTCCCTATCCCTGTCGCGGTCACTGTCCCGTCGCTCTCGCTGTCCCTATCCCTGTCGCTGTCGCGGTCTCTGTCCCGTCGCTGTCGCGGTCTCTGTCCCGTCGCTCTCGCTGTCCCTGTCGCTGTCGCGGTCACTGTCCCGTCGCTCTCGCTGTCCCTGTCGCTGTCTCTGTCCCGTCGCTCTCGCTGTCGCTGTCCCGTCGCTGTCGCTGTCCCTGTCGCGGTCACTGTCCCGTCGCTGTGGCGGTCACTGTCCCGCGGCGGTGGCCGTGAGGCAGCGCTGTGCCAGCAGCGCCAGGCCGAGCGCGGCCGGTGCGGCGGGGCCGGGCGGGGCGCGGGGCGCGGCGGCGCTGAGCGGGGCCAGCGTGGCGAACACGGCGTCCGAGGCGTTGCGCGGCAGCGGCAGGTTACAGATGCTGCCCTCGCAGCACGACGTGCACACCTGCACGGACACACGGACACACAGACAGGGAATGAGGGATTCCGGGCCAAAAAACAGGGAACGGGCAATTCCAGGGGGGAAAATGAGGGGAAATAACGGTACATTTGCAAAGGAACTCCCTGTGATTTTTCTCTCCTTTTTTCCCCTCTCCTTCCACTCTTTAAAAATCCATCTATTGAGAGAACATGGATTTTCTCCCTTCTTTTTCTTTCCCTTTTTTCCCCTCCCTTTTTAATCATTCCCAAGGGAAATTCGATTTCAGCCGATGCTGAATTTACCCACTAATCCAGCCAGACTTCTAGCACTCCAATTACTCCATAAATTATAACTTCTATCAATAATATTATGTATATGATGGATAAATATTATATATACGTATATATACATAATATACATTATATAATACATATAATATGTATTAATATAATATACAATATTATATTAGTAATAATACATATTTTAATATATATATTATAAAATATATAAATATATTTATATATAGATAATTTATATAATAATATAATATACATTATATAATACATATTATATATAATATACAAAATCTGTTATATACTATATACATATAATTTAAGCATTATATAAACACTGTACATATATAGATATGTATGTATATATATAGATATATGTATATATATAGATATATATGTATATATACATATATAGAATATATATATCTATATATTATATATATGTAGATATATATAATATAAAATATAACATTATATGATATTATATAACATATGAAATATGTTATATGTTACTAAATATAGTTGTAAATTGTTTTTAATATTACATCTAATAGGCCGTATTTATTGTTGATATATTAAGGATATTATACAGTATATTGTATATATATTTCAATATATAGATAATTCGTTTTATATATTAGATATAAATTTATTATATGTATAAAATATATTTAATGTATTGAGAGAATATATTGTATATATTGTATCATGTACATTATATACTATATATCATGTATTGTATACTCTTATATATTGTTACATATTGTATTCACAATATTTTGCAGATATGTGAAATATATTGTATATTATATATAAAGTACACGATCTTTTATATAATATTCCTATATATTATATATTTTAGATAAAATTATTATATATTTCATCTATAATATATTTTTATATTATATATTGTCTTGAATATAACATAACATAACATAACATAACATAATATAATATAATATAATATAATATAATATAATATAATATAATATAATATAATATAATATAATATATTGTCTTATCCTATTTATATTTATGTATTTTCTACTATATTATATGTAGTATTGTCTCAGATATATATAATATATATTACATAATATATATATAGAGCACACATTACATATTATATATTACATACTAATATATGGAATATATATTGTACATTATTAGAGATTACATTATATCTAAAATATTACAATATACTGTCTATATTGCATATACAATATGTATATATAATTTGTGCATTATATATACATTGTACATATATTATATACGGTATACATATTATACATATATAATATAATAATATATATATTACATATGCACTATTACATATAATCATGTATATTATACACAAAGAAAATTAAAATATATCACAGAATGTTATATAGTAATAATAAAAATATTACAATATCTACTCATTATATTATATTATTATTATATTATATTATATTAATTACTATATTATATGAATATTTTCATTTTTATCTATATCTGCACATACTATATTTACAAAACAACCCCTAATTATACAATTTTTTCCTCTATTTGCCCCCACCTTGTACTCCTCGTGCCTGATGTAGGTGCAGCCCGTGCTCAGGCACTCCTCCAGGGCCACGCAGCGCTTGGTGACAGACACGCTCTCCCCGCTGGCCCTCATCATGTGCTGGCTGAAGCAGTACCTTGTCCCTAAAAATCATGGAAAAGTCTTTATCTGCCCAATTCCCTTTCCCTGAGAGCCCTCCAGCAGGAGAGATAGGAAAGAAACGCTGGATTTTTATCAAATCATGGAATTTTTTTAAGAAAACCAATTTTTGATGTATTTATTGTAGATCATGTGCTGGCTGAAGCAGTACCTTGTCCCTGAGAAACACAGAAATATTTATTTGCCCAATTCCTGTTCCCTGAGATTCCACCAGCAGGGGAAACAGGAAAGAAATGCTGGATTTTTATGCAATCACAGGATTTTTAAAAACTAAGAAATTTTTGATGGATTTATTGCAGATCACGTGCTGTCTGAAGCAGCATCTTATCCCTAAAAAACATGGAAATATTCATGTGCCCAGTTCCCTATTGCCCCTTTGTCCTGTCCAAACAAGGAATATCTGGGAATGTTGGGCTGCTGCCATGCCAGCCAGCCTGGAGGCTTTTATTGCTGCTGATTTGAGCTCAAAGGAAGCAAATTCTGGGCTGATAACGGGCCTGACACAGGCTGCAAACACAGCAGGGTCATCTCCTTCCAAAATAAATATTTCCCAAAGGCAAAATCCCAAAACAACCCAGCTAAAAGGGATTCACAGGGGCTGATGGATCATCTCAATGTTCTGTGATGTTTTTGTTTCTCTTCTTTGTCTCAGAAGAGAACTGGTGAAGGAAGGGGAGATCTGGGCAGCTCAGATCTGATATTTGAGTGTTTGCACTAAAGGGTTTTTCTGAGCTGTTCCAAATTTCAGACTCCAAGGGGATTTATGGGATTAAATAAAATACCAAAATTCCAGCTGTGGCTGCCCTGAATGTGGATTTGTGCCATAGGAGAGGGAGGTGAACACAGCCAGAACTGTCCTGTATTCACCAGTAAGAGAAATAAAACTTTTAAAAATCCTTCCCTGTGAGGGTGGGGAAGGGTTGGGATGGAATTCCCAGAGAAGCTGTGGCTGTTGCTGGATCCCTGAGATTCCAGCAGCAGGAGAAATAGGAAGGAAATTCTGGATTGGAAGAGTCCAAGGCCTTGGAAGTGCCCAAGGCCAGGTTAGATGCTTGAAGCACCCTGGGATCATGGAAGGTGTCCCTGCCCATGGAATGGGATGAGCTTTAAGGTCCCTTCCCACCCAAACCAGTCTGGAATGTTAGGAAAGAAACACCAGAGCCTGATTGAATCCCCCAGCTGAGCCAGAGGAAAACAGGGAATAGCTCCAAGTCCTCAACCTCAACCACTGCAAGGAGACAGAAAAGCTCAAGGGATGAACTCCAGAATCCCATATCCCACATTTCTGGGAATAATGGGGCTCCCTGGCAGGGACAGGGGGGTTGGGATGGCGCTGGTTACCTCGGGGGCAGTAAACATCCGGAGCCCAGCGGTTGCACTCGTAATTATCTGAGGCCTTTTCGCAGGTGAAACACTTAAATCCATGAGGATACGGCGTGGCTGAAAGGAATGGAAAATGTGGAATCAATAGGAATGATACAGAGTTAAAATGACCCAATTAATCTGGTTCTACACTGCTTTTTGGGAGAAACACTTAAATCCACGAGTACGGCGTGGCTGAAAGGAATGGAAAATGTGGAATTAATAGGGATGATAATGGATTTAAAATGACCCCGTCAATCTGGTTCCTATGATGCTTTTTTGGAGAAAACAGTAATATTTTCTCTCTTTAGAAATTCCCAAATTTCTCCAGATTTTCCTGTCAGTGTCAGCAGGTTGGTCCTGATTTGTAAAAGCCCGTCCCCCACAGCACATTTAGGTCGCTGTGGACTCGTTCCAGCTGTGTTTACCCAGCCAAAGTGCCCAGTGCTGACTTCAAAGGGAGCTAATGGGAGCTGGGAGTGCTCATTCCCTTGGAATCAGAGCTCACATCCAACACTGCAGCTTTATCAGTGCTGATAACAAAATATCAGGTGGATTGAAACACTCTGGGAATTGTCCCATGGAGGGAAAGAGCTGCTCCTGTTGCAGGCAGGCTCACGGCCCCAGAGGGAACAAAACCACTTTGCTGAACCTCCAGCTCTGAACAGCAGCCTCTGTCCTAATTTATCTCACCAATCGAGGCCTAATTCCTTAATTGCTCTCCTGGCAGCACTTCTGGGGCACTTTCAATCTCCCCTGAAGGTGCTGCCACCTCCTCAGAAGCCAAATGGTGAACAGGTCACATTTATCAGTACTTTGGACCTCTACAGCTCCAAGGGCCACATCTTCACTCTCCTCCTCATCACCTCCTCCCCTGGCAAGATGAGAAACCTCAGCTTCTCCATGTTGTGCTCCTCTGGAATGTGATTTGGAGAATTGTTTACCCAGCATGTGAAATTGTTTTAATGTCCAATCACAGCCAGCTGTGTCGGAATCTCTGAGTCAGTCATGAGCTTTTATTATTCATTCTTGTTGAGCCTTCTTGTGGCAATGCTCCTCACTCAGGGCTCACCAAATGTGGAATTTGCAGGCAATCCTGACAAGGGAAGAGAGGAGGATCTTGACTCCATGTTTCAGATGGCTGATTTATTATTGTATTACATATATTATGTTAAAAGAAAATGATATATTAAAACTATACTGAAAGAATAGAAGAAAGGATTTCATCAGAAGGCTTGCAAAGGAAGGGAATGATAATAAAATCTTGTGACTGACAAGAGATTCCGAGCCAGCTGGGCTGTGATTGGCCATTAATTAAAAAAACCACATGAGCCTAATCCCAGATGCACCTGTTGCATCCCACAGCTGCAGATAACCATTGGGTACATTTTGTTCCTGTTGCATCCCACAGCAGCAGATAACCATTGGGTACATTTTGTTCCTGAGGCCTCTCAGCTTCTCAGGAGAAAAGATCCTAAGGAAAGGATTTTTCATAAACTATGTCCGTGACACCTTCTGATGTCTCCTTTCTCTTTCTTTAGTATAGCTTTAGTATACAATTTCTTTTAATATAATATCACAATATAACAAATCGGACTCCTGAGAACTTGGGAGTCAATTCTCATCTCTCACCTCGTCCTTGGGACCCTCACAACGACCCAGGCCATCAGGGGGAGGTGACTTACTGGAGGGGTGGAGGTAGACGATGTCCTTGGCGGTGAAGTCGCGGCTCCGCGCAGCCGGAGCGCGGCCGGGCAGGAACAGGAACAGCAGGAACAGGAATAGCAGGAACAGCCTTGGTGGCCAGGCCATGGCCCGGCCAGGACCTGCTCATGCGGCGGCCGAGAATCCCCACCTGGGCAGAGTCACAGAATGCCAGAATTATCCAGGCTGGAAAGCACCCCCGAGATCATCGACTCCAACCAGTCACCAACACCCCCTTGTTCCATGGAGGGAAAGAGCTGCTCCTGTTCCACAGCCCCAGAGGGAACAAAACCACTTTGCTGAACCTCCAGCTCTGAACAGCAGCCCCTGTCCTAATTTATCTCACCAATCGAGGCCTAATTCCTTAATTGCTCTCCTGGCAGCACTTCTGGGGCACTTTCAATCTCCCCTGAAGGTGCTGCCACCTCCTCAGAAGCCAAATGGTGAACCACAGCACTGAGGGCCACATCCAGGCTGTCCTTACAAACCTCCAGGGATGGTGACTCCAGCACCACCCTGGGCAGCCATTCCCATGGCCAATCCCTTTTTTCTGGCAGAGAGCAGGGATGAGCCGAGCAAACCCACAAGGACCTGGCCACCACCTCGTCCCCGTGACCCAACCGCAGAGCCTCCCGCTCCTCTGGTTATTTTGGCCTCAACAAATGCCAAAATCATAATTATCTGAGGCCTTTTCACAGGTGAAACACTTAAATCCAAGAGGATACAGTGTGGCTGAAAGGAATGGGGAATATGGAGTTAAAAGGAATGGAAAATGTGGAGTGAAAAGGAATGGAAAATATGGAGTTAAAAGGACCCCATTAATCTGGTTCTACGCTGCTTTTCAGGAGGAAACAGCAACGTTCTTTCTCTTTGGATCCAAATTTCTCCAGATTTTCCTGTCAGTGTCAGTGGGTTGGTTCTGATTTGTAAAACCCCGTCTCCCACAGCACATTTAGGTCACTGGAAAAGGTGGACAAAGGATCTCCCTGGATTTCCAGGGCAGCAAAAAGCTGGCTGGTCCCACAGGAGGTTGGTGCTTCTGCTGACACCTCATCTCCACCTTCCTCCTGACTCTTCCTCACTGGCTGGGCCACAACTCCATGATCCTACTGATTTTATCTTGGCATTTCCTCTTGGAAAAGACTCTATCTCAGAGCTGCAAACAAAGTCACCATTGGATTTTCCTCATCCATGCTCCAAAGGGGTTTATTCCCTTTATTATGCCATTAATAAATAATTTGGTGTATTTTTTTCCTAAGTCCCCTGACTGATGGGAACTAATTAAAGCAGAACTCAATAACCACTGTGGTACCATTCCTGAGACCATTCCCACTCCAGGCTGTGGGGAGCCACCCAGGGGCAGGCAAGGCTAAAAAAATCATTAAATACATAGCTGAGATTATTAGAAACCCTTAAAAAATTATGAAAGTGCCTCAAAAATCAAACGGGACAGGAAAATCCTGAAAGGATGCGGCTGCTGAGCCCGGCTGGAGCCGATGGTTTCCTCTGGAATCCATCCAGAACACACAGAGTTGGGATGAGTTTTTCCATCCTGATCAACCAAAAGATCTGCAACACCCAGATAATTCCTAAGCAGCTCTGAATATGTGGTGGTTATTATCTAATAATATTTTTTTGGTTGATTTTTTTTTTTTCAGGAAAGATATGACAGGGTTGGGGATGTCACCTCCAAATGTTTGTCCCACAGCAGGAATCCACCCAGGGCCAGCAGCACAAAGGTTGTCATTGTCCCTGCTGTTATCTGCAAACAGCTTTTTTATTAAAACACAGTGAAATCCATAAAAAAAAATATGAGGAAAAAAGATAACGCGCAGCCCGGTGCTTTAAACTTTGTTGCTTTAACCTTATGAAGAGGGAATTTTGGATTTACTCCATTGGTCCCTCTCAGCCAGGGGAGAATGAAATCCTGATTAGAAGCAGACAGGAAATAAAACAAACCTCTCCCAACCACGTGGAAGATGAAAGAAATGGGTCCATGCGGGATCTGGAGGCAGAATTTGGAATTTGGGACTATTTTTTTCATCCCAAACAACACCAGGAAGGTTTCACATGCCCCACTCTTCATTTTAAGACATCAGCAGTTTGCAGTGAGACCATCAGGAGCAAAAACTGAGGATTTGATCCTGAGCTACAGCACCAGAAAATGAGGATTCACACCCCAAAAAGAGGAGCTCATCCCAGCTCAACTCCAACTCTCATCAATAATTAACAAATTATCAACATAAAGGACAAACAGTCATGGAATCAAGGTTGGAAAATACTTCCAATATCATCACATCCAACCATCACAGTGATACTTTAAGTTAAAGCACAGCAAGGTTGAAATAAGAGCAGGAATTCCTCTCAGAGAGACAAGAATTTGTTGGGTTTGCTCATGTGAAGCACAAAACTCTTTTGTTTTTGCAGAACTGATCAAAGCCTTGCAGTTGGGGACGTTGGTTTTCCCAGTGTCCCTTCTGTGGGACCAACTGCTCACCCAGCCCCTCTCCAAATCCCCTGTGGCAGCACTCAGCCATCAGTTTGGAAAAGTGGCTGGTGCCAGAAACCCTCCAGCTGCTCCCTAAAAATATCCACATCCTTGCTCTGGTAATTGCAAGGACCTTAATTGCCGGCTCCTAATGAGTGGCAAGAAACCGTGAACGAAGGGAGAGAATTCACTGCCCCACCTCCGTTTTCTGTTTGAAACAGGTTTAATTACAGGCAAAGAATCACAATTTTAAAATTCTCTGGGTTAGAACATTGTCCAGAGAAAGGCAAGCAGGGCCAAAATTTAAAACCATGTAATTTAGGGAAGTTCTTATGTAGCAAGCACCTGCCACCATCATTGTCACCATGAGCACATTGCACCTGCTCATCCATACACACAGGTAGGGCAAAACCAGGAAATTCTGCAAACATGGAAAGACCCAGTGCCAGAAACCCAAATATTTAATATTCCATGAATATTTTGAGTATCAACACAGGGGTACACATAGTTCTGTCTTTCAGGGGGGGCAAATATTCGGTGACATTTAAGGTAATGATGATTACAGAGAGTGGAGCAGCAAAAATACTTTGCATTAAAGTAATATTAAATACTTCAGAACTCAATATCCAATAATGATATATTAAATATTCAATTAATTATATATTAATTCAATGTTCAGCACTCTCATTTTCTCTGGTGTTACACTCACACATAAAAATAAAATGTAAGGAAGGAGATATAAATATAGGTATATAGATATGGATGCACTGTCTTAAAATCTGCAAAAATTTGGTTTGGTTCCCAAAATCCTACAAAATTCTTATTTTCTACAATGGTGGATTCTCTTTAAGAATCCTATAAGCCCTAAGAAGCTTCACCAAGGGCATAAAGGCATTTTTGTTCACTCCCAAGCCCCATTCATCCAGAACTTTCAGCCAAAACAGCCAAACTTTGTACAAAACTTTTATTTTCAAGAATTATTGGTGGAGTACCCCCTACTCCGGGGCTAAACCTCTGTTGGCAGAGCAGATGGGAGGCACGGGAAGATATTTTTTCCCTCAGAATTCCCTCAGCTCTTTGCGCAGGGCCGAGCGCTCATCCCAGCCTAACGGAAGCTGGCACGGCCCGCTCGGAATGCGGTGGTGGGACACGGTCACACGAGCTGTGGGAACCCAGGAAATTCCCCTGGCTGCCCTGGAGGGCTCGAGCCCCTGCCCAGGGGGATCAGAGACCTTGGCAGAGCCCAAGACCCCTGTGCCTTGGATTTAGCCCTTGGAAAAAACAATTACCAACCTTTACATGAAGGATTACAAGCCATGACAGTTTAAGTAGAATGATAGTGAATTTATCACAGGGTGGAAAATAGATTTTTGGGATTTTTAGAATGGGGGTTCAGGGGGCAAGATGGAGGAATCTGGGCATGTCCAGCTTTTCTCCTTCTTCTTCTTGGCCTCCATCTCCTGCTGTGATGTTGGCACTTTTGGATTGGTTTAGAGTAGAAGCTCACTGTCTAACACAGGTGATGGGTATTGGGAAGTCATTGTAAATATTGTACAGGTAGTTTTTAGTATAAAAAGATAACACAGCCCCAGGGCAGGCAGAGTGCCTCTGTCTGTCCTGCTGAGCAGACCTGGGCAGGTCAGAGAAAGAATTTTATAGATAAGGAACAATAAACAACCTTATGACCGAGAACTGAAGAGCTCTGACTCCATATTTGAGCACCAGGCTGGGAAGAGGGAATTTTTGACACATCTTAGGGGCACTCTGAGCAGCACAGAACCCGAGAACGAGTCCCATGTTTGGGTTTGGATCTTTTGGATCATGCAGCCAGTGTGTGAGAGGGCCTGGGCGCTGGCACAGAAATCCCATCCCTGTTAAGTCCATCTGCCTCACTCCAGTGGCACCTCAGAGGCGGGAAGGCCGTTCCCTGAGCGTGACACAGCACAAAGTACCAAGGCTCCATCAGAAGGGTGCAAGAGAGAGGGATTTGTTGGAGCAACACGCTGCTTTTATAGTTTTTCAAGATATCCACATTTACTTAACAGACACATTCACTGCCCATTGGTTGTAAGAAAGAAACAAAGTTCTCAGTGGGTGACCAAGGAGCCACATCATTCTGTGAGCCAGCTGGAGTCTGTATCTCTTAACTTTCTCTCCTTCATCACCTCTCCATGGTGACAACCTTGGTGTCTTCCTCAGGAGAGATATGGGGCTTCCCTTTATCATCAGGAGGCCTTTGCTGGCTCACAAGAACAGCACAGAATGCCTTTCCTACAGTTCCCATTCCGGATTACTCCGGCCTGGCCTTTGCCCCACCACGGTGCAAATGAGCCACGGGAGGCCCCGAGCTGCAGCCCAGTTGCCCACTTGTCAGGTCTCATTAGGGAGGGGACATCTCGGCCTCGTTGGCTCCGGCGCTGGGGACAATGGAAGGTCCCAACCCTCCCCGGAGAGGAGGCCGGATATCAGGGCTCTGGGTTTAGGGGAGAAGTGTTGATGGAGGGGACAGTTATTGTAAAGGATGGCTTTGTCCCTTCTGTCCTCCTCAGGCTCAGCTGGCTGACCATGACCAAACCCAGCTGCAAGTTTGCAGTAAAAACACCATTCCAGGAAGGATTAAAAAGGGGGGGAAAAGGGAGTCACACACCAAATCTTTCCATGCA